ATTCTCCAGGCAAGAATACCGGAGTGGGTTGCTATGCCCTCCTCCAGGTGATCTTCCCAACCCTGGGATTGAACCCAGGTCTCCTGCATTGCAGGCAGATTCTTTACCATCTGAGCCACCAGCGAAGCCCAAGAATACTGGAGTGGGTAGCCTATCCCTTCTCCGGGGCATCCTCCCAACCCAGGAATCGAACCAGGGTCTCCTGCATTGCAGGCGGATTCTTTACCAGCTGAGCTACCACGTTCTTTGTATTAGGAGAAAAGAACAAGCCTGCACCCCTGAAGGCTCTGCTGAGGTAGGCAGGGCCTCAGGGACGGTGCGGGCGGAGGGGGAGGTCTGATCTGTTGTTCAGGTTTTGTTTTTTATTTGGCTGCACCAGGTCTCAATTGGGGCACACAGATCTTTAGTTGTGGCACGTGGGATCTAGTTTCCTGACCAGTGATCGAGCCCAGACCCTCTGCACTGGGAACATGGAGTCTTAGCCACTGGACCATCAGGGAAGTCCCTGTTGTTCGGGTTTTAAGACTTTCCACAGGTTGACCCACTCAACAATGTGCTGTTGGTCCAGCTATTCAGGTGGGTCCCCACAGCCATGAGCTCAAACCACATGTGCTTCCAGGTCATTTTCCCCTGACCCTTAAGAGCCCTTTAGGATAGCCCCTTTGGCTTTCTGAGCTGCTTCTCTGTCTCTGGTCTCTCCCCCAGCCTGCACCCATTCCTGGGATTTGTCACTTTCCCCTAGATCAGCAATGGGTTGCCCAACATCATAAATATCATGAGTCACAACTGGGCTCAGCGTGGCTAACCCTTCCCACACCAGGTAGTGAGGGTGGACGGGAGCATCTTAGCTCTCACTCCTGCAGTGAAGGTGGCCCAATCAGGGCTTTTGAAGACAGGGGCAATGTGCAACTAAGACCCAGTGCAGCCAAATAAACAATGGATGTCCCAAGTGGTCCAGTGGTTAAGACTTCATACTCCCAATGCCGGGGCCTGGGTTCACTCCCTGGTCAGGAAACTAGACCCCCATATGCTGCAACTGAAGATCATGCATGCTTCAACTGAAGATCATGCATGCTGCAACTAAGACCTGGTACAGACCAATAAAAAATAAACTTAAAAAGGGCGGGGACGCACAGACTGCCTGCTTCATTCCCAACTTCCTATGAATTTGTTTCACCTCCTCTATAGATTTCCAGGGTCCCACATGCCCAGGAAGGTCCCTGTCATTGAGCAAGCCTCCCTGCCAGACAGAATAACCCAGTCTCTAAGGGAATGAGGACCTTGAACCTCCTGCAGGCTTGTCGGAGGCTAGAGTGTCTGGGGCTGTATATTTTCTCTGCCTCCTGCCAGGTCAGGGTAACCATCACCTCTCATATCCCATGGCCGCACCAACCATGCCTGCTAACTTTCCTGGCCTTTAGCTGAAATTTGGCACCTATATCCAAAGCACAGTGGGTATATATTCTGTCACCACAAATATTTCCTGGATACATGTCATTTAAAACTAATTAACAAGTACTAAACTTATAAAACTACTAAAGGTTCAAAGGAAAATCTTAAAACAGGTAAGAACAATAAGGTCCTACTGTAAGGCACAGGGAACTATATTCAGTATCTTGTAATAGCCTATAATGAAAAAGAATGTGAAAATATATATGTGTGTGTGTGTGTGTATATATATATATATATACACACACATATATAAATATGTAATTGAATCATTTTGCTGTACACCACAATCTAACACAACACTGTAAAACCACTATACTAAAAAAACTAAAAAAATTATAAGATAAAAAGATAATAAATTTTTTTTTAAAAGATAATAAATAGAAACAAAGGAAGGGCGGGAAGGCAGAAGAAGAAAAGTATCAAGATATTGATCTCATTATTGCTCATAGTAGGGAATTAATTCCTAAACAACAGAATTACAACTGTAAGTTACATATCCTATAACACTGCTGCTGCTGCTGCTGCTAAGTCACTTCAGTCGTGTCCGACTCTGTGCAACCCCATAGACGGCAGCCCACCAGGCTTCCCTGTCCCTGGGATTCTCCAGGCAAGAACACTGGAGTGGGTTGCCATTTCCTTCTCCAATGCATGAAAGTGAAAAGTGAAAGTGAAGTCGCTCAGTTTCACTTTCTATAACACAAACCATTGTTAAATAACTTAATATTCCAAATTATCAGAAGAAACATACACAAAATAAAGCAGAGTCCAAACAATAAAAGTGTTTTTAAGTTATTAAAAAATAGGGGAGAAAATGTAAGAAAAAAAAAGCTGTCATATAAATAAAAGAAAATTAATTAAGTTCACCTATATTTCAAAAAGACTTTACCATTGGCACACAAACAAAAACCCAACTCTGCTCCATATAAAAGATACATCTCAAAGTGATTCAGAAACTTTTTTGAACATTTTAATTTTGTTGGAGTACAGTTGATTTACAGTGTTGTGTTAGTTTCAAGTGTAAAGCAAAGTGATTCAGTTACGTATATATATATGCTCACTCTTTTTAAATTATTTTCTTGATTCAGAAACTTGATGGCCAAAAGTTTCCTAGGCAAATGCTAATGAGAAAATGAAGGTCATAATATTATTCTCATTTATTATAATCCTTTTATTCCTTACTTCCTTTCTACAATTTTTTTTTCCTTTGGAATAGCTGCCAGGGTATCCAAGGCTAAGAGTTTTGACAATCTGTGTGCCAGCAGCTACAGCACAATGTTTTGAAAACAGCAAAGATCCAGCGTGTGGATTCACAGACACAGTTGCAATAGAAAGGAAAAGAGGGATCTAAGAACCAAAGAGTATCCTGGTTACAACTCTTACATTAAAATTATAGTGAGAGGGGCTGCGGGCTCAATCCCTGATGGGGGACTTGGATGCCACATGGCACATGGCGAAAAAACTCAGAACAAAGACCTCCCTCCAGCACTCTTTGTATCACAACCTCTTCCAACTTCTGAAAACTACTCATCTGCCCACTATTCCTGCAGCTTTGTCCTTGTGAGAAGTCATATAAATGAAGCGTTTGAGATTGGCTTCTTTCACTCAGCATAATGCCTCTGAGAATCATCCAAGTTATCGGTATATCAATTTGGGCTTGCCAGGTGGCACTAGTGGTAAAGAATACACCTGCCAATGCAGGAGATGCAAGAGACACGGGTTCAATCCCTGGGTCGGGAAGATCCCCTGGAGTAGGAAATGGCAACTCACTCCAGTCTTCTTGCCTGGGAAATTCCATGGACAGAGGAGCCTGACGGGCTATAGTCCATGGGGGTCACAAAAGAGTCAGACACGACTGACTGAGCACAACTTCCATTTTATCGCGAACTTATCCTGTGGTATGGCTATACCACAGTTTATTTATTCATTCATTCACTGCTGGATGAACATTTGGATCATTTCCAATGTGTGGCCTTTCTATGAGAACAGAACATTTCACTTTTCCAGTGCCAACACCCAGGAGAGGGATCGATGGGTCATATGGTAAGTCACAGAAGAGGAGACTGGCTCCCAAGCACGCCAACTCCATCACAGGCCAGAGTTCCCATTGAAAACCCAGGGCCTCCTCTCACCAGCCGAAAGGAAGCAAAGGCTTAACCTCTCTGTGTGTCAGTTCCAGTTTCCTGTCTGTTACCTTGTAAGGATTACAGGGTGTATCCCTTTGGGATGTTGCGAGCAAGAATTAAATACAATGATGCTTTGCCAAGTGGTCAGGCCAGTGGCTAGCAAACAAGCTCCCAGTAAATGCTGATGTGGAAGTAATGCTGAGTTTGGGCTACTCACCAACCCCACTCAGGTGTCCCCGATGTTATGGATGTTCAACTTGGGACTCCAGCTGTCCAAAGGACCACTGGCCATGTGGCTAACTCTGCAGTCAGTTCCAGACAGGTCCTGCTGTCCTCTGCACCACTCCTGGGTCCAATGTTCAGTGTCCGTGGACCACAGCCAGGTTCATTCAAGGAACCTCTGCTTTGGGCTGACTCTCACTAGCTGGCTGATACCTGCAGGGCAGCCAGGAGTGGCTGGGAACATTTACAGGAGCTCCCTGGGTGTCAGACATAGATGGTACCTCATTCAACCTTGCCAGCTGTTCCCAAGGAGTCAGCCAAGATACATTGCTAACATTTCAACCAAAGCCATCATCAGGGTTGGCTGGAGCCTGTTTGAAATCAGGACCTGAGAAGGCAACAGGTCAGTGCTCCAGGATCCAACAGATGGGTGCTGAGTCACACTCCTAGATCCTGCTTTCCTTCAGGATTCTGACACAGAGCAGATAAATGATAACCTGGGGCTAAATGCATTCACTGTGAATTAAATTACACATTTCACTTCTTTCAGAACCTGTATGTTTCAGGATAGAAATCAGTACCTGAGAAGCATACTGATGTTTATAATTAATCAATCTGGGGCGCAAGATATGAATCCCCGACTCCACCCTGCCCTCAGCTAGGAAAGGAGAGAGAATAAAGGATGTTTGATGAACTGCATGGAAAATACTATAAACTAGTTAAGTATCAGTCTTCCCTGGTGGCTCAGCAGTAAAGAATCCACCTGCCAACTCAGGAGATGCAGGTTTGATCCCTGGGTCAGGCAGATCCCCTGGAGAAGGAAATGGCAACCCACTCCAGTACTCTCGCCTGGGAAATTCCATGGACAGAGGAGCCTGGCGGCCCACTGTCCATAGGGTGGCAAAGAGTCCAACACAACTTAGCAACTAAAGTTAAATAGTTAACAGAAATGTGAAAATAAAATTAGACTATCCAGAGACTGACTAAAAGTGTGAACTGCTCAAAACTACCAAAAGAGGGAAAAGGTACAAACAGGATGGATGAATGAATCCAACGAGGAATCGTGAAATGATGTAACTTGGAGCAAGAATGAATTTTAGGCCAACCTTCAGTTAGGGTCCAGGGCAGGGTGGAGAGAGGGGAGGAGGGTCTCTTTCTTGCATGGCTCAGGATCCCAACTTTGCGGGTCAACCACCCGACTTAATGCTGGTTGGGGAAGAGGTCACATCGGGTGCCCTCCAGCCTGAGGGGGGGGCAGCCCCAGAGGATATCCTTGGCCTGAACCCGCGGCACAGCCTCGCTCCAAGCACGAGCATGGGGACGATGGGAGGACCCGAGTGCCAGCTCAGCATCTGGAACCCCTTTGCCACCCTCATCCTCACCCCCAGCGCGCTCACCGGCCTCCTCCAGGATAAGGAGCACGTCACCGAGTCCCTCAGCTCACTGCTACCAGCGGCTGTGGCAGCAGCACCCCAGCCTCCGCCAGACCCTCGCCCAACACCGAAGAACTGGTACATATCCCTGGAGAAGCAGCCGGGTTTAGCAGAGGTCCCAAGTCACAGAAATTGCAGGGTGGGGATGTTCATGAAAGAAGTGGGATGGGCAGGATTCCCTGGAGGTCCAGTGGTTAGGACTTCCTGCTTTCACTGCCCTGGGCTCAGGGTTCAATCCCTGGTTAGGGATTTTATATCCTGTATGTCCTGGGGTATGGCCAAAAAAAAGGGGGGTGAAGATGGGGGTACAGGGTGGGGGACATCATCCCTGAGTTGGAACATTTTAGAAGTGTGTTTCAGTCTTGCACTGACAGAGGCGAAGGAGGCCATCGTGGGGTTTGGCAAACGTCAGTATCCTTGGTATCTGCTCCCCCTTCTTCCTTAGTAGCAGGACAGCCAAATTTTAGATGAGTACACAGTCATCCAGAACAAAAACTACATCTCTGAACTTCCTGTATAGCCAGTTATGACCTTAGAATTAAGTTCTGGCCAGTGGGCTATAAAGTGAAGTGCTGTGTCTGTGATTCCCAAGAAATGTCCTTAAAGGGAGGAGTAATGCCCTTTTCTTCAGACCTTCCTCCTTCCTGCTGGCTGGGAATGTAGATGTGATGACTTATGCTCCAGCAGCCATATTATACCATGTAGTGGAAGCTACATACTGAAGACAGGTAACAAAATTCTCTGTAAAGGAACCAGGCCCCTGGTATCGAGGACAGCCCACCAACCCTGAATGGCCTGCTTCCGGGTCCCTTTTATCTAAGAGAGAAATATATTTCCATTACATTTCATTCAAGCCATTATAGTGTGGTTTTCTGTCTCACATACCTGAACCAAATCCTAACCGATAAACAGAGGACATGAAAATCCTTTTTGTTGGCAGAGGTGGGGCAAGGACTATAATGGAAGTAGGGGTCCCCTGTGTTAGCAAATGTGGGAGACAGAGGTGCAAGGGAAGTAGAATTGGCATCACTGGTGGTAGGAGCCTGATTGATTCCTGAATAAACAGACATGGTAAAGGAAGAAAAGGATCAGGACATCTATGTAGCGGTGGTTATGCCCAAGATTGGGATCACAGAGGACACTGGGGAGCTGACCATGTTGGACTAGGGAGGGACAGATGTCATGGCTAGACAGGTGAGGTCCCCATGTTGACAAAGGTTGGGGAGAGGCTCAAGGTACAAAGAGGAATTGTTCCCAGAAGTTCTATCCAATTTAAAGAACAGGCTCAAGTCCTTGTCCATCTGCTTGGTGGCCAGAGGACTCCCTGTTCTTATATCCGCTGACTGCCAACAGCACCTCCTACTGACCTACACAGTCTGTTGATCCCGAGGAAGTCAGTCCGGCCCCACTGTGGGGGGTGGAGGGGGGGTACCTCATCCAGCATTTGTCCTCCTGTGGGCCTCTCCTCAGGGATCTGTCCTGGTCGCTTGTTAAAAATGCCTACCTAACGACTCCACTTAATAACCAATGGATCAGCCCCTCTAAGTGGCCCTGTGATTCTGACATTCACTCAGGTCCAATCCACCTTTTGACAAGTTGGGAAATTGAAGCCCAGAGGAGTGGGGCCCCTGCAGGGACCTCCCCGGCAGTCAGCAGAACACTGAGTGAAAACCCAGTCCAGGGCTGGCTCCAATGCCCTGTGGATCTCCCAACACCTGCACCCCTTTATCCTGACTCTCTCTGGTGGTCCGCTGCTAATTTTGAAATTCTCTGAGGTGGGGATACAACCTGCATGGTCTCCTCCATCCTCACAATTCTAGGACAGACTGCAGGCTGAGGATGTCAGGGCGGGGGCGGGGGGGGGGGGGGCTCGCACATCTCCCAGAGCAGGGGCCTCTTTCTGCAGCATCTACTGCTCAGGCACAGGGCCTGCGAGCCCCAGGACCCCACGAAGACTTGCAGATTCCTCTGACTGGACATTCAACTTCCCCCCGAGCGAGCACATGGGGAAGCACAGTAGGGGCTCCAAGAACAGAACACTCTCCTCGGATCCCCCACCTACCTCCCTACTGGCCTGCCTTGCCTGCCCTTCTTTCCATCTCCCTACTGCAGCTCTGGCCCTGCCCTCCCCACGCCTCGGGTAGGAGGAGAGAGTGATGACATAAAGGGGCAACCCCTTCCCGCCCCAGAATCTCGAGCATCTTCAGAGGCAACTTCCCCTTCCCTCTCCTACTGGCTGACCTTCCATATTCCACCCCCTCCCCAAAAAATTAAGTTCTGATTGGCTTCAGAAAGCTCCACAACCTGCCTTGGCCTTACCGGCCATGGATTACCCCGCAGGTACTGCCCCCCAAGTGGGCACGAGCAAGCAGTCAACTCTGAGAACACGCCCTTTGTCTTTTCACTTTCTAGGCTAGCACTAGTTCACACCCCCAGGCTATAAGCTGTGCTTCACTCCCTTATCTCCGTGCTCCAGCCTAGGACCTCATGACTAGAGAGGTCAAGTGACGCGCCCGCGTGGCACAGACGGTTCCGGAGCGGCACCCCCACCACCCCCAAAGGCCTCCAGTTTCCGAGGCCGGAGCGGCTGCATTCCGCGCCACCTGGCGGCCGACTCCCGCAAGCGGAACGTGGACCCAGCGCCGGTCCCGCGCTAGCAAGGGCCGGTGTTTGTTCCCGCGTGATGGGCGGGCAGACTGGGGGCCGCCCAGCTTAGAAAGCCGTGAACCAGCGGCCCCGGGCGGGGCACGGCTCTGGATCCCCGCGGTCCTCGCGAGACCCCGAGACCCCGCGCCCTGCCCCGCCCCCCCGGCCCCTAGTGACGGCTGACGGCGACTTAGGGCGCTGAGGAGAGCTCGGCGGCCAAGTGAGCGTGCGCGTCCGCGCACGCGCCCACCCCACGCAGCACCCGCACCGCCGCGCGCGCGCGGACGCGCACGCTCACCCCAAAGCTCGCCCGCGCCGGCCTTTCCCCCACGCAGTGAGCGGGCTGCTGAGCCCGCGGTCCCAGGAGAGGAAGGGGCTTACGTGCGGCGCGCTCGCGTGAGCACACCGCTGCCCACTTTTTCCACCTCACCTCGGGCGCGGGGACGCCGCCGTGGCCGCACCGTCCCTATGGGTGACTCCCTGTAGGGCGGGACCTGGGTGGGGGGAGTGGGGCGGGTGGTCTGTGCAGCCCAGCCCCTCCGACCCGGCTAGGGGCGCCCAGGCCAGGCCGCTCCCACCTGCTGGCCACGGCGACCAATGAGAGCCTGGCCTGGTGATGTCATGTCCCGAGCAGACCCTCGTGACGAAAGTCCGAGGTCACCCGTCAGGGAACCGGCGCGAACCCACCCGCGGGGGTTCCGGAAGTTTCCACTGCGGCGGCGGCGGAATGCTGCCTCGCCCCGCAGCCTCTTCGCGTGCCACCACATTGGCCTTCCTTGTCGCGCGTCCCGGGGTCACCTCTCCCTCCCGCGAGGGGTCTCCTCCCTCTTCGGAGGTCCACTTCCTATCCTGTTCTGCTCTCCTGTTCACAGCCTCATTCCCACAGGTGTCACGTTTCCTGCACTAGTGTCACCCGGCCCCCTGAGAGGGTCGTCAGCCAAGTTTTCGCGTGCTGGTCCTCCCACGCCACCCCTGCGCTGTCGCGGCCAGGGATGCTCATTTATTTGGCCCCCAGCCCCGACTTCTCCAAGTGTGTCCGTCCGTCCGTGAGTGTCGGTCACTGCGTTTGTCTCCGGCTGTCACTGCAGGAGGCCGTCCGCACGTGTCTGTCTCCGCGGGCTTCTTCTGTCCGTCTGCCTGTCCCTGTGGGTGTCTGCTCCGCCGCTGAGGCTCTTTCGGTCGTGTCTGTCAGCGCGTGTCTGTCGTCTGTCGTCGTCTGTCACTGGAGTCCTTCTGGGCCCCGGGGTCTCTGGGTCTGGGCTCGGAGGGAGGGAGAGGGAGGGGAGGTGGCAGCCGGGGGAGGCGGGGAGGGGCGGGGGCGGAGACAAGGGGCGGGGGCGGGGGCGGGGGCGGGCGGGGGCGCGGAGCGGCCCGGAGGGGGTGTGTGCGGGGGGCCGGAGGCGGCGGCTGTCAGAGTCGGCTCAGCCTGCGCCGGAGAACATCGGCCGCCTCCAGCTCCCGGCGTGGCCCGGCCCGGCCCGGCCCGGCCGCCTCAGGTGAGTCTCCTGCCCCACCCGGGACCCCCACCACCACCACTCCGGGCAGAGGTCCATCCCGCGGCCCGGGTACGGCGAGCTCCCCGAGGGACCCAGGCCCACAAACGGGACGCCCCCCGCGCCCCGGGGCCTGCCCAGCGACGCCCCCCGCCGCCCCACACTCATCCTTAACTCTTCCCTCGCCGCCGCCGCCGCCGCACACTTACGGTTGTCCGCGCGGGAGACGGCAGCCCGCAGGGCCCGCCGCCGCCACTGCTCCCTTATTCCTGTGGGGACCCCCGAACGCCGCTGCCCCTGCTCTCTCCCAAGTCCGGAGCCCCCCGGAAGATGCCCCCAGCTTGGGGGCGGAATCTGAGCTGCGCAGGTTCCTGGAGCGCGGCTGGGTCCTCCGGGATCCCGCGACCCCAGTGCCCCTGCGCAGCGCCAGCCGAAGCCCCCTCCCAGACGCAGGCGTCCCCCTCCCGCGGGGACTCCGTCTCTATTTTGGGGATAGGGGAGGCTTAGCGGAAGCCCCGAGTTATAATTAGCCCCACTCGGGTTTCCTAGTTAATCTCCATCACCACCACCCAGCTCAGGACGGCGAGGGCTGGGTGAGGGGTGACCGGCGGGAGAGGGGGGGAGTTCCGACCCGGGGAATTTTGATCCCTTGGCTGGAGATGCCGGAACCGCAGCAGCTGCTGCCCCAAAATAGCGCTCCTGCCCCTGCAGCCGGGGATCTCCGGAGCTTCGAGAATACAGGCGTCCCGGTTCGCCCTTCAGACCCCTCGGCAATGCCCGCGAGCCCCCAGACCCCCGCCCCAAGTTCCCGGCTCCTGGACTCGGGGCGGGGAGCGCCGTCCTTTTCTCGGCTTCTACTGCCCCCCGCCGGCGGCAGCGTGCACCGCAGCATCGGATGGATGGAGGACTTGAGTCCTGGGGGGCCAGGGCTGGCGAGCCTGTTGTCTGAAGCTAGGCGAGCGGGGTGCGCAGTAGACGGGCACCGCCGGTACCAGTGCAATGTGTCAGACAGTGGATGAAGCGGGGCTGGGTGGGGCAGGGTATGGAGTAGGCAGGATTTGGGGTACCCCGGGGCCTGTGACTCCCACACCGTGAATGCCCAACCCATACCCCTCCAGGGCCCGGCCCTGGCCAACTGCAGGAGAGGCTGCGCCTTCACGCCACCTCAAGTTCCCCCATCGGGCGCCTCCCGTCAGTGAGGGCCCCGCCCCTGTCGGTGGCCTGCAGCCTGTAGTTGTGGTGCCTCCACTGGGCCCAAGGCGCTCCACTGGGGGAAGGAGGTGAGGGCAGTGGGTTCTGCCTCGCAGGGGAGGGTATTGCTGGGCAGGTCTGTCTCCGTTCCCTGCATTTATCTGTCTGTGTGTGTGTGTGTGTGCACGCGCGCGTGTGCCTGATCTCTGTCCCCTCTAGCTTCTTCTGTGTCCTTGCCTCTGCCTGTCTTCCTCCCTCCCTCCACTCTATCCTCCTCTCTGCCAAACTGCCCCACCTCCTCTGCAGCTCGGTGATAACCCCTGGGCAAGAGTGTTACCTAATCATCTCCTTCCTCCTGGCAGCCTCGAGCCTTCACCCTCTGCCTTTCTTTCTCCCAGCAGACGCCTGCCTGCCCTGGCAGCCATGAGGCCCCCGTGGTGTCCCCTGCACACGCCCTCCCTGGCTTCCCCGCTCCTCCTCCTCCTCTTCCTCCTGGGAGGAGGGGCAGAGGCAGAGGGCCCAGAGGACCCAGAGCTGCTGGTGATGGTGCGTGGGGGCCGGCTGCGGGGCCTCCGCCTAATGGCCCCCAGGGGCCCTGTCTCTGCTTTTCTGGGCATCCCCTTCGCAGAGCCACCTGTGGGCCCCCGTCGCTTTCTGCCACCGGAGCCCAAGCGGCCCTGGCCAGGGGTGCTGAATGCCACGGCCTTCCAAAGCGTCTGCTACCAATATGTGGACACCTTGTACCCCGGCTTTGAGGGCACCGAGATGTGGAACCCCAACCGTGAGCTGAGCGAGGACTGCCTCTACCTCAACGTGTGGACACCGTACCCCCGGCCTTCGTCCCCCACCCCTGTCCTCGTCTGGATCTATGGGGGTGGCTTCTACAGCGGGGCCTCCTCCCTGGACGTGTATGACGGCCGCTTCCTGACCCAGGCCGAGGGGACCGTGCTGGTGTCCATGAACTACCGGGTGGGTGCCTTTGGCTTCTTGGCCCTGCCAGGGAGCCGGGAGGCCCCAGGCAATGTGGGGCTCCTGGATCAGAGGCTGGCACTGCAGTGGGTGCAGGAGAATGTGGCAGCCTTCGGGGGCGACCCAACGTCGGTGACTCTGTTTGGGGAAAGTGCAGGTGCTGCCTCCGTGGGCATGCACCTGCTGTCCCCACCCAGCCGGGGCCTATTCCACAGGGCCGTGCTGCAGAGCGGGGCACCCAATGGGCCCTGGGCCACAGTGGGCGTAGGAGAGGCCCGCCGCAGGGCCACACTGCTGGCCCGCCTCGTGGGCTGTCCCCCGGGTGGGGCTGGTGGCAATGACACAGAGCTGGTGGCCTGCCTGCGGACGCGGCCAGCTCAGGATCTGGTGGACCATGAGTGGCATGTGCTGCCTCAGGAAAGTGTCTTCCGCTTCTCCTTCGTGCCTGTGGTGGACGGAGACTTCCTCAGTGACACACCCGAGGCCCTCATCAATGCTGGAGACTTCCATGGCCTGCAGGTGACTAGTGGCTAGAGTGGGTGGAGCTTGTTCATCTAGGCCTGTTCTCCCACCCGCCCCTCCCCTTGGGGACCCAGGCATGAGGGTGGCTCCAGACCCACTCCCAAAGGCCCGGGCTTCTGGGCCCCATGGCCCCCTCCTCTTCCATGAGGGCTCCATCCCCGGGTGGTCAGCGGGTCAGAGAGGAAAGGAAATGTGGGTATATTTTCTCTTTCTCTCTTTCCCTTCCCCAATCTCTCTCTTCCTCCCTGATTCCGGGTCTATAACTCTTCATCTCTGGCTTTTTGTCCATCTGTTTCTGTCTGCCTGTCTGTCTGTGCTTCCCCTCCCCCACATCCCTCCATCCTGTCCCCCCCAGGTGCTGGTGGGTGTGGTGAAGGATGAGGGCTCCTATTTTCTGGTTTATGGGGCCCCAGGCTTCAGCAAAGACAACGAGTCTCTCATCAGCCGGGCCCAGTTCCTGGCCGGGGTGCGGGTCGGGGTCCCCCAGGCAAGTGACCTGGCTGCCGAGGCTGTGGTCCTGCATTACACAGACTGGCTGCACCCTGAGGACCCAGCACGCCTGAGGGAGGCCTTGAGTGATGTGGTGGGAGACCACAACGTCGTGTGCCCCGTGGCCCAGCTGGCTGGGCGACTGGCCGCTCAGGGCGCTCGCGTCTATGCCTACATCTTTGAACACCGTGCATCCACGCTCTCCTGGCCCCTCTGGATGGGGGTGCCCCACGGCTACGAGATTGAGTTCATCTTCGGGCTCCCCCTGGAACCCTCACTCAACTACACCATCGAGGAGAGAACCTTTGCCCAGCGACTGATGAGATACTGGGCCAACTTCGCCCGCACAGGGTCAGCAGCGCTGAGGGAAGGAGGGCCACCAGGAGCCAGGGATAAACAGTGGGGGGGGTGGGGGAGATAAGCAGGCACATAAACAAAGGGCCAGAGAGAGAGGGCAAGTTCACAAAGGAAAGGAGACACAGAGGGAGAGAGAGAATGATGGAGGAGACCCCGAGAGAAGGGGAGGAGGAAGGCAAGGTCCTGATGACCCAAGGAGAGAGCGGAGGGATAAAGGCGTCACCGTAACAGATTGGAGCATGGACTGTAGAACTGGACCAGCTGGACCAGTGATGATTTTATTAGCTGTCTGAAGAAGGGGACCATAACTTACCCCGTCATCTGGGTGTCCGCAGAAGTAATGATGTTCCTAGAGCCATGACTGGGCCTGGTTATAAAGAAAGGGCTCAGTAAATCAGAGCAATTTTTTAAATGGAAGAAACAAAGATGGAGCAGAAATAATTGAGAGTAAAGAAGAGGAACAATGGGGAGTTCCCTGATGGTCCAGTGGTTAAGACTTCCGGCTTCCACAGCAGAGGGTGTGGAACTACTGCATGCAGAGTGCAGCCGAAAAAAAAAAAAAAAAAACCAAAGAACAAGAATAGGAACAACAGAAAGAGGTAGGGCAGGAGGAAGGGAAAGACCCCAGAGGATAGACCATGCTGGAAAAGAGAAAGGATTAACGAGGTGGTGGGAGGGAGGGGATGGGCTCTCCCTGGAGCCTAAGAGGGCAGGGCAGGGGTCAGGAAGCAGGCTGCCCCCTCCTACTCCCCATCTCCATTACCCAGCCCCCAGGGGCTGAGCCTCCCCTTTCCTTCCGCAGAGACCCCAATGACCCCCGGGACCCCAAAGCCCCACAGTGGCCACCGTACACGGCGGGAGCGCAGCAGTATGTGAGCCTGAATCTGCGGCCGCTAGAGGTGCGGCGAGGGCTGCGAGCCCAGGCCTGCGCTTTCTGGAATCGCTTCCTGCCCAAACTGCTCAGCGCCACCGGTACGCCGGGGCCTGCGGGCAGGGGATGGGTGGAACGGGGGAGCGGGGGGGGGGGGGCGTAAAGGGGCGTGGAGAAAGAGAGAGAGGGGACTGGGAGCCGGCCGGGTGTAACCCCTCTCTTCTCCCCCCAGCCTCGGAGGCCCCCTGCACCTGCTCAGGCCCCGCCCACGGGGAGGCGGCCCCGAGGCCCAGGCCCAGCCTCCCCCTGCCCCTCCTTCTCCTCCTCTTTCTCCTCCTGTCCCGGCTCCTGCGGCTGTGACCACGGCCTCTCCCCCCTCCGGCCTCAGGGCCCCCCACCCCCTCCTCTAAAGAGTGGTCGGATCGTGGGGAAGGGCCTCATTCAGGGATCTTCGACCCAGCGCCCCCTCCCTCAAACCGAGAAACTGAAACTAGACAGGGAAGGGCGGGAGGAGGGGCGGGGGGGGGGGGTGCACCTACGACCCATCTCAGGGACCCACACACCTTCATTGTTTAAATGGAAATGAAAAAGTCAATTTTCTTTTTTTTTTTTATAAAATTATTCTCTGGAGCCTGAGCTCGGTGTTGGGGGTGAGGGAGGCCCTGGGGCTAGATAGCACCCCCTAGTGGAGCTATAAACGCCAACCATTTCTGTCTCTTTTTTCCCCACCAACCCACGGACCTCCTCCTCTGATCCCTTCGGTCCTCCTGTCTTCCGGTCATCTTCTTCCTCTCCCTCCTCCTTCCCGCCATCCTTCTCTGGCTCCGCCTCTACCCTCGCCCGCCCTCTGGTCTTGTCTTTCGCATATTCTCCTGATCCTCTTTCCACCATCCCACGTGGTTGCCTGCATTCTCCGTGTCTTCTCTGAACTCACGCTACCCCCTCTTCAACCCCCGCATGTCCGTTCCCGTTCTTCCCCATGTCCTCCCCCCACCCACTTGCCGGGCACTCTGGCCGCAGACACGCTGGACGAGGCGGAGCGCCAGTGGAAGGCCGAGTTCCATCGCTGGAGCTCCTACATGGTGCACTGGAAGAACCAGTTTGACCATTACAGCAAGCAGGATCGCTGCTCAGACCTTTGACCCAGGCGGGACCCCCACTTCCCCCGCCCTGCCCGCTCCGCCTGGCCCCTCAGCTGTATATACTATTTATTTATGGGCTGGGATATTACACGGAGGATCCCTAGACCCTGCCCACCCACCCCCGACTTTCCCCTGGGGCTCCCGGCCCTCTGCATGCCTCGGGCCGAGCCCCCTCCCCCGCGGTGCCTTCGCCCTCTGGGCTGCCAATAAACTGTTAACAGCCACGGGAGTGTGCGCGACTAGGGAGCCGGTGTCCGGGCAGAATGCTCTAACCACTGGGGCGGAGTGGATAAAGGGGTGGGTGCTAAAGTCAGACCGGGGAGAGGATGCTGGGCGCAGCATACCGTCTTCCCCGCCGCAGCCTGTAGGGCCCGCCCGCGAGTAGGAGCTCACGCCTGCGCAGTGAGGCCGGCGGCGCCGGCGCGGCGGTGCATTGTGGGAGACCTGAGTACCTGCTTGGTCCTCACCGCCGCGATCGCGCCATGCGCTGCTACCAGGAGCCAGACGAGCGATCCCGGGGCCCTTGCGCCGGTGTTGCCTGCGGTCAGCCCTAGACTTGAGGCGGAGAAGGAGCGCTGGAACCTGGAGTTCGCGCCGCGCTGCCTGGAGGACGCATCTGCCTGGCCCGACAACCGCCGTTCCCGCCCGCCGCCCTGGAGCTGCTGAAGGACGTCCACCTGGGCCTGGCCCTGCCCGGCCGCGGCCCTGCCCGCCTGGCCCTCCTCTCGGGCCACTACCTCTACTACCACTACGGCTGCGACGGAGTGGACGACCGCGGCTGGGGATGTGGCTACCGCACTCTGCAGACGCTGTTCTCGTGGCCAGAGGGCCGGCCCGTGGGCGTACCCGAATTGAGTGCAGTGCAGGCGGCCCTGGAGGACATGGGCGACAAGCCCCCCGGGTTCCGGGGCTCTCGGAGCTGGATTGGCTGTGTAGAAGCCAGCCTCTGCCTGGACCATTTTGGGGGGCCCCAAGGGCGGCTGTGTCACGTTCCCCGTGGAGCAGGGCTTCAGGGGGAAATGGAGAGGCTGTATTCCCACTTCGCTGGGGGCGGGGGACCTGTAATGGTTGGTGGGGATGCAGATGCCCAGTCCAAGGCCTTGCTGGGAGTATGCCTGGGCCCAGGAACCGAAGCCTATGTCCTGGTGTTGGACCCTCACTGCTGGGGTGCTCCGAAGAACCCCAGTGAACTACAGGCTGCTGGTTGGGTGGGCTGGCAAGAGGTAAGCACAGCCTTTGACCCACACTCCTTCTACAACCTGTGCATGACCAGCTGTAACTCCAAAGAGCAGAACCGCGCCTTGGACTAAGGCTAAGTTCCCAGCACTGAGCAGCCTCTAGCCCTGTACACATTCATCCACCCTCATCTCAAAGGCAGAGGCTGCCTAATGTCAAACTCCCCAAGAAGTCCCAGCAAAGCCTGGGACCTTTGTTGTCAATAAAGTGGCAAGACCCAGCTAATCATGGCCCTAGCAATTTGGGGGGAGAATTCGGGGAGATCTATATTGTACTATACACACACACACACACACACACACACTGCCTGCAATCCAGGAGACCCATGTTCGATCCCTAGGTCAGGAAGGTCCCCTGGAGAAGAGCACGGCAAGCCACTCCAGTATTCTTGCCTGGAGAACTCCATGGACAGAGGAGCCTGGTGGGCTACAGCCCATGGAGTCACAAAGAGTCAGACACGACTGAGCAATGAACACTTCATATATACTAAGCCAAGAGTCACCACGCAAGTGCTTTTACTGGCAGTAGGGCTGAACGTACAAAAACTCAGAGCTGGGTAAGACAAGGCAGTCACAAGTACAGATGATACCAGGAGTGAGGAAGGGGAGGTGAGTCAAAAGAAGTCAACATCATCTGGAGCATCCAGGTCACGGTATTCCACAATGGCCCGTGGGTCTCCACGGACCATCCTGTGTGGTCAGAAAGAGTTAAGATGGGGTTAGAGTTGAGGGTCTCTGAAAGGGAGTTTGCAGAGGGCCAAGAAAACGTAACCATCTTAGCCCATTCTCACCTGTTTCGAGGTTTCCCAGGGTAACCTCCCTGGCCTCGGAAGGCATCATAGTTCCCTCGGCCAGCACCATAGGGAGCATGGGGGTATGGGGGTCCTCCTGTAGGGACTGCAGGGCGAACAGCACCAGCTAGGAAAAAGATCAGTACAGAGTTGAAACACTGTGAGCTCAACTATAAGTTTTCTTTCTCCCAGCCCTAGTTCAAGTCCTTCAACTCCCTCTTACACTTACCTCCATAGCCCAAGATGGGGGGCCTGGGCTGACCATAGGGCATCAGGCCCTGGGGAGTCTGGTGTGGGTAGGGAAGTCCCGGAGTCAGACCTGGGGGGAGTACAACAAGGACAGGAACATGAATTACTGCGGGGGTGGGGGGGGCAGAGAGAGACAACTAGCTTTTAGTAATATGGCCTAAGAGTGGGGTAGAAACCGGTCTGACCAGTTAGAACCAGGAGTCTTTGAACAGTCAAGGGACAGGGAATGGGGCAGACCCTCACGGATCGTATCTTACTCTGGGCAGGGCCCGGTGGCTGAGCCGGCTTGATCTCGGGCAGAGCAGGGCGCTTGGCATCAGTGAGAAAGTTGTTAAAAAAGGCCACTTCCTTCTTTACTTCCTCAATCTTTTCTGCATGCTTATTGAAGATATGTTTACGTACAAACTCGGGGCCCTGGGTGAAGAGAGGAGGGGATCAGACTGAACAGTGTGGGCTCCTTCGCTGCGCAGACCCAAACTTCAAGGACAGTCCTCCCCTCTCCAATCCCAGTGAGCACCTCCTCCCCAGGCTTGAGGCTTCCTGGTTCAACCCTCTCTTCCCACTATCCTAACAACACAACTCTGTAATCACAGACCTTGAATTTCTTGCCACTGAGAGGGCATAGCCACTTATCCTTGCCCAGTTCCTGGGTGTTGGAGGTCACAAACTTTTCCACTTCCTGTTCAGGGTCTTTGCGACCCATCTTCTGGGCCTCTTCCTCTGAAAGAGATTCTCGCACACTCAGCAGCGGAGTCAGTTTCTCCTCAAATGTCTTCTGCCACTCTAGGACTGTTGGGGTACAGACAGGAGCAGGTTGGAGAAGGGAGCCAGGAGGGGATCGGAGGAGAGGGTGGCAAAGCACTACTACCAGAGCAGAACCAAGGCCAGAGGCAGCTGAGAGCAAGAGAAACCAGGATGAGGAGCAGGAACTCACCTTCCCCGTGACTGATGCGGTTGGGTGGCATAGGCCCCCTAACGTGGATGATGCCACAACGGTTGGGCATTTCATCCTCATTGGGGTACTCGCATGTGTTATAATAATCCAGGGAATGCACGATGCGCAAATAAAGGAGGAGTTTGTCCAATACCTAAGAGAAATAAGAAGCGATGAGTTCATCACTGCTGCCACTTTACCACCAGAGCCAGGCTCTCCCTCACCCCACGCTCCACTCCCACTGGCACCTTGATTAGCTTCTCATCCCGCTCCACGTTGATCTCTGCAGGATTCCCTTCCTTCGGAGGCTCCTCGGGAGGGGCCCCCCCACTGCTCCCCAGCAGCTCCTCTTCTTCAGCGCTCACTTCCTCAATCAGGTAGTCAGTGATATTCTTCAAGATCGGGTTCTGCGAGGGCAGACTCTGGAAGGGTGAGAGATGAGGTGAGAGAGGCAGACAAAACTCCTCAGGGAAGCCAAGGAACCTTCGCATTTGAAATGGCAAAGTGGGGCAGAAAGGAGTTCAGGATTCAGCTGGCCTGTTACCTCTCCCTTATTATACTTTAATATAATATTTTATATAATATTATATTTATAATAAATATTACATTTACGTTCTGCCTTAGCCCGTAAATACTCGCTGTCAATCTGTTTCATTGGAGCTGAAGGTGCTGCCCAGAAGGGCAAAGACGTGGGTGGGCACAAGGAAGGGGTCAATGCTACAGATCAGGTAAGGCCAGAGGTGCCCCCAGCTGACGAGGTGGTAAAAAGTTCCCCGAGGAGTCACTGACCGCCGGCAGGGCAGGCGTCCCGGGTTCCGGGGCCCAGAGCTGGGTCCTGTCGTCCAGTGTGTGGACCAGCTTGGCTGCCAGCTTGATGTCGTTGCGCACGATCTGCTTGTGCTGGGTGATACCATTGATGTTGCGGACGCGACGAGTCAGGTCTCTGTTCACGCCTGGGCTCAGCTCACACTCCCGGAGCTGGAGGGAACCGAAAGCTTACCAACACTCGCCCGAGAAAAGCCACTAAAGACTGGCCCAGCTGAGCACGCCAGTGATCAGACTGAGCGCCCTGATGACAGGGACCAGGATGTCTTGTTCACTCCAGCAGTCTCAGGGCCACACCCAGAGACAACTGCATGCAGTCCACGTGGGCAGACACCATGGGTGAAATAAGGACTGGATGGATGAAGCCGTCAATGAACAAAGGAATGAGACTGTGCGGAGCATGCGAGGCCCTATTTTCTCTTCCTCAACAGCCCCACTCCCAGCACTCACTCGGATATTCTGCAGGTTCCAACAGATCTCCTTAATGTTCACGCTGCGGTCAAAGGTCACCCAACCACGGCGGAAAAACCTGAACAAGAAAATGTCCACACAATCCTGGGATGGAGGTGATGTTGGCCACTGATCTTCCCTAAACCTTTTCCCCAAGGTATCCAGGGTCACGCCTCCCCACCTTCCTCACCTTCTCTCCGGCTGGGGCTCCGATAATGCCACACGCATAAAGCCTGGATATCGTTTACAAAGCTGGAAAAGCAGAGAAAGAGAAACCCTACCTAGTGATTCAACGATTTCTTCCTTCCTCCAGTCCCTATGTCCTTAGAACCCTGGGGAACTGCCTTTTCATCTTTCCTTAGACTAGGGAAAAAACAATACAAGGGCTTAAGAATAGCAGCAGCAGAAAGCAAATGCTGCAGTCAGGGCCAGCCTCTTTGAAGGCCATGGGCCCAGGGGAAAGGGACCTCCCTGTTAGACAAACAGGGCCGTGTGTGCATCAGCAGCAATGCCAGGTTCTCTTATCCCTGCCGTCCCCTCCCAAAGCCTGCCTGTCATCCCTGCCCCCACTCACAGAAATGATCTCAGCCCGGGAGATGTTGGGCGCGATGTTGCGCATGAAGAGAGAGCACGTCTTATGCAAGGGTCGGGGTTTGCATTCCAGCCCAGGGGCGTCCTTAGGCTTCTCCCTCTCTTCTTCCTTGGGCTTCTCCTTTTCCTTGAGTGTTTCATCTATGCAGGGAGCAGCGGGAGTCAGCAAAAACTCATCGTTGGGTGAGTGAAGGACAGAGAAGCTGCAAAGCCTCCCCCCACCAGTCTCTCCCAAAAGGCCCCCCTCCTTACCAACTTCACCCATCTCTCGCCTCCACACCAGCCCCTCAGCCTCCCCAGCACCGTCAGCAGGAAGAGACTGAAAATGAAACACACCAGCCTCCTCCTTCTCCTCCTCGGCCTGGCCACTCTCAGACTCTGACTCCGACTCAGACACACTGCCTTCGTCAAAGCTGTCATCGCCACTGTGCTTCCTGTTCCGCTTCTTGCTGCTCTGTGAGACCCACAGCAAGGAGGGGAGTCAGGTACCAGGACCCCACCCTGACTGCAACCTTGCCCAAGCGAGAACCTACCTTTTTGGCTTCTTTCTCGGAGTCTTCCTTCTTCTCGTCTTTGTCCCCATCGCCTTCAGACTTCTTGGTTTTGTCATCACTGGAACCATCATTTTCAGCCTAGAGGTAGAGACAAATCACCAGGAACATCACTCTCTCCTTCAGCCTTTTTCAGAGGGCCCTGCCCCACCCTCCAGCAGCTTAGCCCACAGGTTCACCTCTCGCCCACCCAATACCCATTTCCCGCCCCCCCAGGCCTCACAGACAGCGCCAGAAGCCCCAGCCCCGAGACCTGCTTGCCGTCTTCTCTCTTGTCGTCCTTTTCGTTGGCCTTGCGCTCTCCATCACCCAGGCCGGGTCCGACCCGGCCTTCCTCTTTCTTGCTGGGCTCCCCAGGCTTTCCTGCCTGTTCCTCCTCCTCCTCCTGCTCCAGGATCCGCAGATCATTCTCTGTGCCTCCTTCCATCTTAATAACAGCTACCGACACAGGGAGCAGAGGTCACAGTCCAAGGGTCCTGGCCTTCTGCCTCTGGCTTTCTATAGATTTTCATCTTCAGCCAAGACCCTGGTCACCAGACAAGTCCACCCCTCCCAGTCCACACACCTGCATCCAGCATCTTGACAATGGCGTCAGCTTTGTCTATGTCCAACAGAAGACTATCAAACCAGCCGCTCTCCATGAGGGACAGGAACACCCTTAGTCGGTTTTGCAGGGCCCCTCGG